AATATCCTGTCTCATTATGTGGATTGTCTTTGCTATTTTTTAATGGTATAATTTGCGGGACAAGTTTTAATTTTTTGTATTTAGTAGAGACGGGGTTTCACCAGGTTGGTTAGGCAGGTCTCGAATTCCTGACCTCAGGTGATCCACCTGCCTCAGCCTCCCAAAGTGCTGGGATTACAGGCGTGAGCCACCATGCCCAGCCAGACAAGTTTTAATTTTTATGAATTCCAATTCATCTTTTTCTTTTGTTCCTTATCCTCTCCGCATCATAATTAAGAAGGCTTTGCCTACCTCATGGTCACAAACATTTAGGTTTTCATCTGAGAGTTTTATAGTTTTAGCTCTTACAATTAGGTCTATGATTTATTTGCTTAGTTATTAACATATTAAGTAACAAGTTCTAGGGGTGGGAGTAATAACTTCTATGATCTTGGAGATGAGGATAAATGCTCTTTTGAGGCCAGGTGTGGCGGCTCATGCCTGTAATCCCAGCACTTTGGGAGGCCAAGGTGGGCTGATCATGAGGTCAGGAGTTCGAGACCAGTCTGGCCAACATGGTGAAACCTGTCTCTACTAAAAATACAAAAATTAGCCGGGCGTGGTGGCGCGTGCCTGTAATCCCAGCTACTCAGAGCTTGAGGGAGAAGAATCATTGGAACCCGGGAGGTTGCAGTAGGCCGAAATCATGCCACTGCACTCCAGCCTGGGCGACAGAACAAGACTCTGTCTCTGAATAAATAAATAAATGCTATTTTGAGATATTTTCAGTGACTGTAATGTGTTGAGATGGAATATCACCTACATTCATAACTGAAGAAAATGCTAGATTTCAGTTAAAGGTTAATTTTTTTTTTTTTTGAGACAGGGGTCTTGCTAGAGGCCTCAAAGTACCTGGGATGGTGAGTGCCACTGCACCTGGTGTTAAAGGTTAATTTAAATAAAGATGTAATTACCAGCTCTGGTTCATGGTCCCCAGAATGCCATCCATGGATTCCAGGTTCAGAACTCTTAGGACGGCTAAAATTCCTGCCTGAAGTCTCAGTTTTCCAATAATCCTTTGGGGGCTTGAAACCTCCCAAGAATGGCTTTAGGGTGTTTTCCTGACACTTCCCAGCCCTGGCCCATACCCTGCCCTCTGCCTGGCTCCATCCTTGAGGAATTCCTTGCCAAGCAGAATTTTCTAACAAGCCCAAATATAGTAATAATAATAATTAGCAGCAGGAATAACTATAAACACTGGGGTAGGAAAGCCTGAACCTGTCTCTTCTTTTCCTCATCCCTTCCCTTCATTCCTGAACTGAAGGAGACTGAGCCCCTTTGGGCTTTGATGATTGCATCACTGGGGTATGTTTATTTGATGGTTGATTTTGCTGTACCAGGTACTTCCTTTCCCATTTTCTAATCATTTTATAACACATGCTGACTCTCTTCCCTTCCCTTCTCCTTTTCCTGGGAAAATACAATGAACAAATAAACTTATTGATAGTGAGAATTAAAACAAAATTGCGGACACCCTTGCCCCTGGCCATCCCAGCATCCCTGGGGCAACTCTGGCCTTGGGTAAGAGGCTCCACAGCTCCTGGCTTAGCTGTGCCCTGGCTCCTCCCCTCACATCATGCCTGACCCTAGGATGGTTGTAGGTTATTTCACCTCTGGGTGCCTCAGCTTTCTCATCTATAAGGGTGGGGGATGAGATGGTCAGTTTTTTTGTTTTAGCGTGGAGGACGAGATGGTCATAGGGTCATAGTTTTTTTTTTTTTTTTAATCGTCGATGTAATTAATTCATCATTTACATTAGGTATATCTCCTAATGCTATCCCTCCCCCCTTGTTTTTGTTTTATACAGATGAGATCTCACTATGTCGCCGGGCGCCATGGCTCAAGCCTGTAATCCCAGCACTTTGGGAGGCTGAGGCAGGCGGATCACGAGGCCAGGAGTTTGAGACCAGCCTGGCCGATAAGGTGAAACCCCATCTCTACTAAAAATACGAAAATTAGCTGGGTGTAGTGGTGGGTGCCTGTAGTCCTAGGCTGAGGCACAAGAATCGCTTGAACCCAGGAGGCAGAGGCTGCAGTGAGCCGAGATCATGCCACTGGACTCCAGCATGGGCGACAGGGCGAGACTCCGTCTCAAAAAAAAAAAAAAAAAAAAAAAAAAAATTAATGAAAGGAAAAAGGAAAAAGGAAAAAGGCAAGGAGGAATCCCAGTGATGACAGGTTGAAAGCTGCAGAGGAGACTGATGGGGAGTGACCTGTGAGGTAGGAGGGCCAGGTGAACTGGAATCTCCAGGTCCAGATAAATGAGGGTTTCCAGGAGGAGAAGTGGTCGACTCAGCTGTTGCTGAGAAGCTCAATGAGACCAAGGAGTGACCCCCGGATGGGGCAGCGGAGAGGTTGTAGGTTACCTTAGCAGCAGTTAAGGGGTGGGGACACAGCTCTGCTGGGTGGGGTGATGAGAGGCTGGGATGGGAGGGGGTTGAGGAAGCCAGTGTAGGGAAGTCTTCGGAAATGTCTGAGGGGAGGGAGAAATGGCAAGACCGGAGAGGGGTGGGGGGCAGGAGACGGTCCAGAGTGAGGCTGATGGCACAGAAAAGCCTCAAGGGGAGGGCAGCGGGAGAGAGTCCCAGGCCCGAGTAGGACGTGGGTACACAACAGGGAGGTTTGTCTGGGGACAGGGAGAGGAGAAAGATCCTGAAGGCTTTCGTTTTTCTCTGAAGAATGAGGTAAGGCCACGGGCTGGGAGCCCAGGCAGAAGGGGCTGTGGGAGGTGTAAGGAGAGGGGAACAGGCATGAGGTCTCAGTTTCAGAGTGGGAGTCTCACCGAAAAACATGGTAGGGCTGCCGGCTTTGTGGATGCGTTACAAGTGTGGGATCACAAATTCCCAATCCCAGGGCTGTGGTGGCGCCCTCTCCCCAAGCGATGGGAAGGCGGGTGTCCTTAAGGTTGGGGTTCCCTATGCCGGAAGGATGGACTCTATTACAATCCATCAGGCCAGGAGGTAAGTACTGTTTTCTGTATTTTACCGTTGGGAAATCTGAGAGCTTCAGGCCAATATAGTATCCGTGTAGCATTAGGGTCAAACTAGAACAGGGGCTGACACATGTTAAGTGTTAATATTGGCTGGGGGGGAAAAAAAAAAAGAATGCTTTTAAAGTCCACTGCTGCACCCCTACTGGTAGCCCAGCCTGGCCTCAGCCTTGGGAGCTGGTGGGTGGAGAGGGTGGCCCTGTGTGCTCTGCTATCCCTGTTGCCTTAATAAATGACCCAGTATCAGCTTTGTGCCCTTGTAGGTTGATCTTCCAGTCTGGTGGTACAACTTTGTAGACACCAAGCGAGCGGGGCAGCGTGTTCTGGACCTCATTCCTCACACAGGGCTCACCTCCGGATGAGTCAGAGGCCTTAGCCAGTGGCCCAGCCCCGGGAATGCCACCCCGGTTCTGTACCCTGCCCAGGCCAGCTGAAGGGTGTATGGGGCACACACCTGCAGCATCCAGGGCTCTCCAAGGAGAGACGTCCTTTGGAGGAGAGTCCAAGAATTACGACCCTGAACTTGGTGGGGGCAGGGCTTCTATACCAGGAGGGGTCCCAGCCCGGTTTCTTAAAGGTCATTTAGGCAGAAGTGAACGTGGTCTCTTCAATAAAGTTAATAATAGTTCATGCTGCAAAAAATGTTCAAGAGAAAACCCCGCTTATTTATTCAGGCTTTAAAACCATAAAACTCCCAAATTCTCCCTGTAGCTATTTATATCCAAAGCTCGTCCCCATATTAATCTCAGGTTTGAAGCAACTTAAAAGAAAAATAGCCATCCCTGCTTTAAAAAGATTTCCCGCATAGACCTCCACTGGTTTAATTACGAAGGGAGCGTAGTTTCGGGGTTGGTTGGGGGTAGGGCACCGGGACCTCCAAGGCAGTTACACCCCTCAGCCCCCCACAGCTGTACGGCTGCCCGGTGGTCCCTCTCCAGGGCAGCGGCTCTCAGGCTGGCCTCAGCCGACCCCACCCGCCCGCGCACCGGGTTCTCCCTCGCGGGGGTTCCGGGGGGAGAGAGGAGGCGGGGCGGGCGGTAGATCCGGAAAAGTGGCTGCCCTCGCCCCGGAGGAAGTTGACCCTCCTCCCGCGCCGCGAGGTTGGGATGAAAATAGCTTCTTCCTCTTTACCCTTCCTGGACCCCCGCCCCAGAACGGCTGCGCCCGTTCATTCATCTTTCAGCAGCCACCCCAGCGGCTAGTGCGTCCCCACGCCCGGACTCTGTGCCCCGGGGGCCCACGGGGACCCTCCCTTGGGCCTCCGCCGCGGCGGCGAGCCCCGCACCCAAGCCACCCCAGGGGTCCCCGCCTCCCCCACCCAATTAGCGGGCAGCACGGCAAACCCGAGTCCCCACGCGGCTCCCGCCACGGGAGGTGGCAGCCTGGGAAGCCCGTCCCCAGCGCCGTGGCCCCCGCCCCCGCGAACCCCGCGTCCCCTGGGAAAGGCGGGGGCGCAACGAGTTTCCCCCAATTAGTTTCCTCTTTGTATGGAGTCTGAGCGCGCCCGTACCCCTCCGCGCAGCGGAAAGTAGTCCCGGCCGGGCGCTCCGCGGCTTTCCAGCGCCAGGCACATTTTACTTTGAGAAGCCGACGGGACTCTCAGCAGGGTCCCGCGGAGGGGGGCCAGAGGCCGCGGGAGGCGTGTGCGGGCAGTAGGGGCGGGGGCCGCGGCCGAGGGGAGGGGGCGGGGAGGGCTGCGAACTCCTCGCCGCTGCCTGGAGAGAAGGATCATGGGGCGTAGGGAGATGGCAAACCTCAAACCACGTACGGCGGGCGATACGCGTCAACCGAACCTCGCCAACGGAAGCCCGGAGCCGCCCCTCCCCGCTCCCCCGCCCCGCCGCCCCGGACGGACGGGCCCGCGGAGCCAACCCGGCTGCCGCTCGCCGTCCAAATCCCACCAGAGCCAATGGGAGTGCGAGGGGGGCGGAGCCATCTCGCGTCAGTTGGGCTGCGCGCCCCCCCAGGCGCCCCTGCAGGCCCCGCCCCTGCCTCCTCCCCTCTCCGCTCGCTGCTCCCGGAGTAGTTGGTGCCAGTGAAGTGAGGGCGGCGATGAGAGCGAAAGTTGCGCTCGGCTCGTCGCTGGGGGCTTGAAGCGGCTCCGCGCTCTACCCGTCTGGGCCTCCCCCGACTCGGACTCGCGCCCGTGGGCTCCCGTAGCGCCCGCCCGGCCCCGCGCCCCCTCCCCCGGCTCGGCGCCCCCTCCTCAGGAGCCGCGGGTCCCCGCCACTTTCGCACGGCCCCGGCCCCCGCCGATGCCGGCCATGGTGGAGAAGGGCCCCGAGGTCTCAGGGAAGCGAAGAGGGAGGAACAACGCGGCCGTCTCCGCCGCCGCCGCCGCCGCCGCCTCCGCCGCCGCCGCCTCGGCCGCCGCCGCCGCCGCCTCCGCCGCCGCCGCCTCGGCCGCCTGCGCCTCGCCAGCCGCCACTGCCGCCTCGGGCGCCGCCGCCTCCTCCGCCTCGGCTGCCGCCGCCTCGGCCGCCGCCGCCCCCAATAATGGCCAGAATAAAAGTTTGGCGGCGGCGGCGCCCAATGGCAACAGCAGCAGCAACTCCTGGGAGGAAGGCAGCTCGGGCTCGTCCAGCGACGAGGAGCACGGTAGGTGGCAACCGCCCCCGCGGCCCCGGGCCCCGGGCCCCGCGCCGCGCTGACCGCCGTGTTCTGCTTCCCCCGCAGGTGGCGGTGGCATGAGGGTCGGACCCCAGTACCAGGCGGTGGTGCCCGATTTCGACCCCGGTGAGTAGCGGCCCCGGGCGGCCGGCGGCGGGGATGAGCGGGAGCCCCGGGTCCCCGGCGAGCCCGAGGGGGCGGGAGCCGGCCGACAACTTTCTTTTTGTGTGTGCGTTCGCCCTGCCGTCCGTGGGGAGAACAGCAGGGCGAGGACGAGGAGGCGCACACGCACACGAGTGTTCTGCAAACGTGCGTCTGCACCCGGTGGAGGCCAGGTCGCCCCCAGCCGGTCCGGCGCCGCTGCCCCCTGCGCCTCCGAGGACTGCAGGTGGCGTCGGAGGCGGCCACACCTGGCGTGGGGGCGCTGGGGGTTCCTGCGTCCAGGTGAGCTGCGCCTCGGCCAGGGGTAAAGGGTGGCAGTGCCGGAGAGTTAGCGTCCTGCGAGCGCCCCGGACTTAGGAGGTCGCCAGAGACCCCTTTATCGGAACCCTTCCCAAAGGCTGCTCCCACGCCTTTGCTTCTCCTCCGAGCCTCTGGCTCTTGCTGGTTCCTGACTCCCCTCCCATCCAGAAGCGAGTAGAAGAACGACCCCCCAAAATCAGTCAATAAAGGAAGTGTGTTTTCCAGAGGGCGCCTGCCTGGGGAAGAGAGCCTCGCGTGTGGCAGTTTGATTTTAGGACCTATTTGTAAATGTGTTTTTTTTTTTTTTTTTTTTTGGAGGAAGAGATTGTGAAATTGAGAATCGTCAGAAGCTTTAGCCTAACAAATGCTTTTCACCTACAAGAAAGTCCTACACCCTAGAATGGAACACTTACTTTCCTGGCTGCTATTCTGTGTAGAAGCAAATTTAAAGTGGTACAAGAAAAAAAAATCCAATCAGACAAAGGAATTCGTCAGATTTTAATGCATGAGATTCTAGCCAGTCTCTGTATGAGACTGTCTTTAAAGGTTGTTGGTATGGAAAATGTTTGAAAGAACGTAGGATTTATTTCAGAAATAAAATTCAACAGAGCATCTTGTAAAGCTGGAGTTAACAATCCTCGCTGGTTGGAGGGCTTTAGAGCTGGGGTTCTCTATGTAGGTTATACCACTAGTTTAATTGAAAAGATAAATGCATACATGTTTTTTCCTTGGAAACGAGACTGCAGAAAATTCCAGTGATCTAGTCCTTGAAAAAGGCGATTGCTCTCAAGCTGTTATTAAGGTACTAAACTGCCCTTTGAAGTGAAAATACGTAAAGGTCCTTAGGTGAGCTCTTGGACACTGGAAATAAATGACTTCTCTTAAATTGGCCTTCAAAATTTTGATTTCTTGACGTAAGGTTTGTGTTCCTTTTAAGTCCATGTTATTGTTTTTGATAGTTTCCTTCTCTCCAATTCTTTTCTTTTTTTTTTGGTAGTCACTTATCATTTATGAGTAATAGGATAGAACTAGGTGACCAGGCTATTTCTCTTGTATGCTTGGCTCCTCCATTCTTCGGTTGGCCACCAGGGGAAGCATACTGTTTTTTGGTTACAGTTGACCCTGTCTTCATTTTGTAGGTCAAGTCTTATCTTTGGTTTAAAACACAGAACATAAAGCTTGTCACCAAATGTTCCTAATGTATTATTTTTAAAAATCGACTTCCACAAATCTTTGAGTAAGTTGGTAGGCTTTTTGGTACATTTTTGTTAACATAAATTTTGAAAACTTTATTTAGATGTGTTGGATGTGACTAAGGAAAAGGGCATATTTGTCAGCAACAGGAATTAGATTTCTGACATTCATCGAAATGTTGATGTCAGCTCTGCATTGTTAGTAATGAGTTTGACTTCTTTGGAGTTGTAGTAGTCTTTGAAACAGCAAATGTAATATTTTGAACTGTCCTTGGGCTTTTTGTTGGAATAGGTATGAGCATAAACTTGCTAGCAATCAGCTATTCTAAAATGGAAAACATCTAGCAGATTGCAGTAGCTCACACCTGTAATCCCAACACTTGGGAAGGCCAAGGCTGGAGGATCTCTGGAGCCCAGGAGTTGGAGACCAGCCTGGGCAACATAGTCAGACTCCGTCTCCACAAAAAATAAAAAAATTAGCTGGGCTAATTTTTGGTGGCATGTACCTGTAGTTTCAGGTATTTGGGAGGCTGAGGCTGAAGGATCTCTGGGAGGTCAAGGCTGCAGTGAGCAGTGATCTTGCCATTGCACTCCAGCCTGGGTGGCAGAGTGAGACCCTGTCAGAAAAATAAAAAGGAAAACATCTAACTGTTCTGCTGCATAGTCTTGCTGCCAATTGGTTGAGTCTTGATATTAAAATTTCCAAATTTCTTATTTTGTGTTTGTTTTAATCTGGCAAGGAATCTAACTGGTGTAAAGTAATTTCAAACCTTGTTTTGCCAACCTGAGCAGGGGGACACAGTCCTAGATACGGCAGAAAATTGAGATTTTACTATTTTCTAGTGCTTTTTTATGTGTCTTCTCATTTAACTGAAAAGCTTAAGGGGAAGGAAGACTTCCATTTTGGAATAGAAGTGATACAACCCGTTTATTTATTTTTATGTGTGTGTGTGACGGAGTTTCAGTCTTGTTGCCCAGGCTGGAGTGCAACGGCATGATCTCGGCTCACTGCACGCAACCTCTGCCTCCCAGGTTCAAGCAGTTCTTCTGCCTCACCCTCCTAAGTGGCTGGGATTACAGGCATGCGCCACCATGCCTGGCTAATTTTTTGTGTTTTTAGTAGAAATGGGGTTTCTCTATGTTGGTCAGGCTGGTCTGGAATTCCTGAACTCAGGTGATCCACCCACCTCAGCCTCCCGAAGTGCTGGGATTACAGGGGTGAGCCACCATGCCCAGCCAACATGTTTGTTTATGGCACAATTCTTTCTTAGCTCTTTAAGATTTAAGACAGGTACATTCCGTGACTGCAAGTTAAGAGTAGTGAATTGAGTAATAAATTAAGAATTGAGAGTTTGAGCCTTACTAGTTTTTATTTCTTCCTCCTACTTGTTTTTTTCTTTTTTCTTTTTTTTTTTTTTTTTGAATCGGACCAGGTTTGGTGGTCCTGCGCGCGGTGGCTCAAGCCCTGTAATCCCAGCGAACTGGTATGGGAGGCCGAGCGGCGGGCATTCAAGAGGTCATGCGAGATCGGAGAACATCCGTGGCTAGACACAGGTGAAACCGGTCGTCTCTACCTAAAAAGTAAAAAACCCACCCACGTGCGAGTGGGCGACAACCTGTAGGTTCCCCCAGCTATTTGGGGAGGCGCTGAGGACACGGAAATGGCACAAACCCGGCGAGGCTGAGCTTGCAGTGAGCCTGACAGCATCTCGGCCACTGCACTTCAGCACGGCTACCAGGCAAGCCGGAGCTCTGTTCACAAAAAAAAAAAATAAAAAGAAAACAGTGTTTAAATCACAAAAGCTATGGCCGGGCAGCGCAAGTGGATGATGCTGTATAATTCCAGCACGGTTGGAGGGCTCAAGGCAAAGTGAATCATCTGAAGCCAAATTCAATAACCAGTCGCTGGAGGATATTCACAGGCCAAACCCATCCGTTTCTTTTTTTTATTTTTTTTTTTGAGACAGAGGTCCACTTTGTCCTAGCTGATCGTGTGCCATCTCCGCTCACCGCACTTCTGCAGCCCAGGTTTACAAAGACCATTCCTTCCTGCTCAGCCTTCCCTGAGTAGCTGGGATCTCACATGGCACGCACCACCACCCCCTGGACTCATTTTTCTTGCTTTTAGTAAAGCACGGGGTTCATCATGTTTTGCCAGTTGTCTTGAACGCCTGGACCTCAAGGTGAGTCCACCTGTGCCTCGGCTGTCCTCCCAAGAGTGCTGGGATTACAGCGTGAGTTCACATGTCACCGGCCAGGCCAAAGATGTCATGCTCTACACAAACGATACATACAAAAATTAGGCTGGGCATTGTGGCACACACCCTGTAGTCTACTATAGGGGAGGGCGGGAAGGCGAGGGAAAAGCGAGCTGGCTGGATCCGCGGAGGAGGACCCAGGGTTGCAGTGAGCGCGAGAGGCGAGCGCGCATTCAGCATATCCCCCGGAGCGACAAGAGGCAAAACTAGTCTCATCTCAAAAAATCAGATAAAACTGGGCGGGCGCGTGGCTCAAGCATCTTCTTTGGTTGTGTTGGTTGCGGAGTGTGGTAAGTGACCCAGGCACTTTGGGAGGGCGCCGAGAACAGAGCGGATCTACGAGAGTCAGGAGAAGACCATCCTGGCTAAGCGCGGATGAACCTGGGGGTGCCCGTCTTACTAAAAAGATACAAAACTAGCCGGCTGGCGAGTGGAACGGGCGCCTGTAGCTGCCTCAGCGACTCGGGATCGGGTGGGGACTGTGGAGATGGCGCAGGAGAATGGCGTAAACCGCGAGGCGGAGGCTTGCAGTGAGTCTGAGATCGTACCTTGTCACTGCACTCCTGCCTGGGCGGGGCAGAGCGAGACATTGGTCCATCTCAAAAAATACAATTATAAAAAAAAACATCAAAACTAAATAATCAATAATAATGAAATGAAGCGACCACCAGCTTGCGCCAGGCGTGTGCTGTAATCCCAGCACATACTGGGGGCATCCAATGCTATGTTATGACTGCTTGTATCTATCTAGGAGTTCGGAGACCAGGCCTAGGCTCACGCGAGGTGATACCACACATGTATTCCCAGCCATACTGAATGAAGGCTGAGCAGGGGAGGATCACTTGAGGTCTGGGAGGCCAGAGCTGTGAAGTGTCAGCCAAGATCCAGGCCCACTGCACTCTAGCCTGTGTGACCAGAGCAGGAGATCCTTGTCGCTGCAATAAAACAAAAACCACAAAGCATTCCCCAATGAATTTTGGTATAGTCTATTTTTTTACATGTGATCTAAACCCATAAACAAAAAGCAGGAACATAGAATTGACTCCAGTGATTCAATGAAAGGCAATATCGCGACATGTCCGCTGTTCAGTAAAATGTACCTGAATCCGCCATGAAACATTAACCGTTTTGCTGGACAGAAGTCCAACGTCTGAGAGTGATAGTTTATGTCTACAAGTGACGAACACCTTTATATATTTTCAGTCTGATTAAT